ACTTAGACAAAGGGGAAATAACACAAAAGATATTCCCCTTGAGCTGGTTATTATTTATAGGCCTTGAATTAGTATCTGTAGGTTCTTCATTACAAGTAGGCCAAGGTAATTAATGCTGAAATGATTATTATTATTATTAATTAAATATTATTATTACCTGTACCTTAAGGGGAACTTAGACAATGGAGGAATTAGAGGACAATTAAAAAAAACGACGTTAAGGGGAAATAACACAAGATATTCCCCTTGGGCGATTATTATTTATAGGCCTAGTAAATAGTACAGTATCTGTAGGTTCTTCATTACAAGGCTTAGGCTAAAGGTAATTAATGCTGAAATTATTATTATTATTATTATTATTATTATTAATATTATTTAACATTAATTACATTACGATGATAGTTTGGACAAGTTCAATAACGCCGGAATGGTATATTATTTATTTAATATTTCTCTTAGGCGCTCTATTTTTCAGTTCATGCTTCAATTTTGTCCCATTTTCCCCCAAAACTTCAGTCCATGTCAGTATATGTGAAGCGTGACTGTTGTGTCAGCCTATGACCCTAGGCCTAGTTTAAGGAGGGGCCTAGGTAAGACCTCAGCCTGTAGTAGGCCTATAGTTTATCCTCTTTCTCTCTAGCCTTTGGTATAACTGTACCTATCTACACTTTATAACATGAGGTACTAGCTGTTGTTGTAGATAATATACTAACATTTAATAACATCCAAGAAGGTCACAGTTCGTTACACAGTAACGTACATCACATAAGTCCGTGAAATTTCATAGGCCTACCGTAGGTAAACATAGAAAGAGCAATAATATTTTTAATGTTTCGTACGGAAAAAAAAAATCGCAGGCCGGGGACTGCCCCCAACGGGGGAGACGAAACAAGAATCTATGTAATTTTTACCGAATTTTTAAATAAGCCTTTCAAATTTGTAAATATTGTCGTTGGGGTTCTGGGCTTCTCCTGACACGGCCAAATTTTTGCTCCCGTTGGGGAAATTAGCTTTGCCGTCGGCAGGGGACATCGACTCCCCCGTCGCGAAAATCCTGGCACCACGGTTCTCGCTTCTGTCTGTATGAGTAATTAGATAAGTTTGTAAACAAACAGGTTTAAAAAAATAAAATATTGTAGGTATCTTAAAATATATCATAAACAAAGCTCAACGATTGAAATTTCATATCCTACATACACTTCTTACTATAGGCCTATTATAACGTCCACTAGACCTTTTTTTTTTATTTATTTATTTCCAAACCAACAGCAAAAAAATCGCCACTTACAGGATGGACATAAAAAAAATATAATATAAACTCTAAAAATACAGAAAAACAGTCAGGACAATCAAAAGTACATTCTTAACTGACAGCAACCCCACCAAGAATAAAGATTCATGAAACAAAACACAGGGCAGCTTAAACCTAGATACTTTTTAACATGAGAGATCGGAAATGTTTAAAACTGTTAAAAAAGATATCAATGTTACTATTTTCAGAAACAATACGATTGTAAGAAGAAGGTAACCTAGAAATAAAACTCCGTTTAAAAACACAAACACGACTGAAAGGAACATAAAAAAAACATGCGAAGACCGTAACACTCGACAATTAACATGAAACCGAACAGATGAACAAATTAGAACATAGTGTGAGTTAACACATCTGAACAAAAAAATAACATATCAAACAGAAAATATCTATCAGTATTAGTCCATCGTGAAAAGAAAAAAAAGATCTGAGACTTTTCTCAACCACAGAAACTATGAAATAATACAAAACACAAGATACGTGGATAGGCCTATGGATTTGATTAATTCATTGATCCCTTTGTGTTCGCCTCAGAACATTGTAAGCGATTGAAAATTTTCCGTCATGTGCACATCGCGTGCAGTTGTCAGAGTATTTTTTTAACAAAGCGGAATATCAACTCTGATGTGAAGTCAAAGCATGGAGTTATAGTTAAAGCCATTAAACTAGAGTAAGCCTAAAGAAAACTATTGTATTACACTTGGCATTACACTCGGATTTACATGCATGACTAACTAAATAATACACGCGAGGCCACTTTTATCAATAACTTCTTTCCACTACTTTTTTTTTAATGGTTTTTAGTCAGATTCAATCTGAATTTGTTACGGTATCGTACTATAGCTTTGTCTGTATTTGCATAATAGGAGGATTACTAGTAAATCTAATCTCACATTTTCCCCTATTTTGTTCTGATTACCTATTTTATTTCTTTTGCTGCAATGATTGATTCATGGCGGTTACAGTATACCTCAGTCCTTGAAATTGAAATTAGTCGCCTGATCTGGTGGTAGACGTGTGTACGCTGAACTATGAAGACACTTTCAGATCTTCGGTCATTATTTAATATCTATTCTCCCACTGGCCAGGATTTGCCCGACGGGGTGGGGTGGGGGAAGAGGTCCACGACGGGGGAGATGTGTATAAGAGACAGGGGTACTTCTGGTGGTGATCGGGCGGTACGCCGGGAGAAAGTCCCCTACTCTTTTCTGAAGGGTATACTGCATTCTCTAACGTTCACATGGGCCATTTTGCACACTAATAGGCCTATGTAGAAAATAAATATAATTATTTTTTCACCCGACGAATTGCGATTTTTCTCCCCGACGGGGGGGGGGGAGCTCTCCCGGACGGGGGCCTCCCCTGGCTCCCCGCTGGTGCCACTCCTGCCCACAGGCAGCGGCGTAGCTGGTGCGAATGGGACCCAGTGCAAGATTAATTGCCGGACACTTTGATGTGATAGGGGAATACCCAAAGTTCTCAGAAAATTCATCTTTAGAAGGGCTTACTTTTACCCCAGTCTATAGTAATAAATACTAATGATAATCGGATTCCTAACTATTTTAAGAGGAGCATATTCGGTCTCAGCAGCTGTTCTGAAACTAATAAAGAAAATTGGTGGCACATACAATTAATAATTGCAGTGGCGGGTCAGGAAATTCGAAATAGAGGGGACGTGGAAGGAAATTTATAGCTCCTCTAGATGGCCGGAAAAGGCACTTTCAGACATAAATTTTAATATATTTGTTTTATAATTTTGATAAAATAAGGGGAGGGCATGCCTGCTGGCTGGGGGAACTCTTGAATACACCACTGATTTGAAATCAACACAGTAATCAATAATTACTCCTCTAAAAACTGAATATTATTGAGGAGTTCGCTGGCCGTTTTATTCTTTAAAAATGTTTTTAAACTATTATTTTTAGATATATTTATGAATTGGTCCCAAATATCCATGGCCCGTAGCTACGCCACTGCCCATAGGCCCCGGTTATGCTTTATTAGGAAGTGGAGTGGTTCTTAGTGAAGAGGAAAAAATCCTTCTGTCACAGGATTTGAACCAGGACCCCGAGATTGGAAGGCAAGCGCCTTAACCACCAAGCTATTCAACTCCACTCCAATTCATTCACGCGTCCATTCAAATGAACACAACCTTTTTAAGCTGGGGCCAGTTCCAATTTGTTGAGACCAGAGGCGGGCCGACATAAATGGTGTACTTCCATTTTCTTTTATAACGGTGAATTGGAAATAGATGGGGCCAGGCAACAACTTTCACAGATGGGGGAAAATACCACCTCAGCCCTGAAGCAGGAAATTTTATGATTATGGCACCTCTAGATGGTCGGAAATGGCATTCTCTGACTTAAATTTGAATTTAATTTTCTTTTCTTTACTTTTCTTTCTTTTAGAATTTTTAGAAAAAAAAACAACAAAAAACAAAAGAAAAAAAATACAAAAAAAAAAAAAACCTGCACTCCAAGTTCTCCTACCCTACAAAACCCAATATTATAGCGATTGTGATCGAAACGTCTAGGTAAATGCAGATGTTATATTGGTTCATTCATTTGAACACTACTTCCTCTCTAAACCATGTCGCACAGCGGTATTATACACATCTTATTTTTTTAACAAAGCGGAATATCAACTGGGTGGGGTGGGGGAGACAACATATTCAGAATAGATACAGTAAGTGAGTAGCGCTAATTTCAATATACATTGAATTTTTAAAATTTAGAGCGCAAAACAGTAGGGCACGTTCCCCTCCCCCTACTGGATCCGTGCCTGAATAGATTGCGGATCATCAGTTAAGTCGTACTACTAGGCCGCATTGTGCTTTCGTAAACACTGAAAGATTTGTTTTTTAATTATCTTGTGAAGTGACGCAATAGTTAGCTAATGAGCCCATTGCTGGATGTAGTGTCCCAGGAATTTCGGCACACCTGGATTCGGACTTTCCTTCTTGTAGGACGAAACATCATTCGTATTTTGAACTCACCGTGAATTCTCTAAAACAGGAAATCGCTGTGAAATTCCTTTCAAATTCGGCCCCCGGGTGGTGGGGGAGGAGGAGGGTGAGGAAATTACAGATTTTGACAAGAATTCCCTGTTCTAGAGGATTCCAGCGACTAATTCACGGGGCCTGCTTCCACGATGCCACAATTCCTGTGACTTCGGCTTCTCTACCCTTGGTGGTACTTTCCCCACCCGCTCCCTGCCAAATCAAACTTTCCAAGCCCTATACTATACAAATGCATATCAAACGTGTTGTCCTTGGATTGTGGAACACAGGAAAATAAGCCGCCCCATGGCTTTTGGCAAATCCTAAACAAAGCATGATGCAGTTTATCTATTTTTATATGTAGAAACAAGTATTACCTCCGCCGTTCTTGTATGCAAGATACGGAAACCTCCAAACGTTACCAAGACCAACAGAAAAACCGATAAGAGAGAGCAAGAAGTCCAGTTTTCCGATCCATTTTCCTCGCGGGTTCAAATTTTCCTTGCCGCATTCTTCGGTTTCTTTTGACTCAACCTGCGAATATTTCCCGGCATCGGCCATGGTTTCAACCCTTGTAACAACTGATCAAGAATGAATACAAATTGTTAAACAGATGCTCACTAAACCCTGTAAGTGCGCATGTGTACCGACACGCATAATTATCTATAGAATCCATTTTTGTAGTTAAACGTAAAAATGAGATTATTTGAGGTCAGAAATGTTTTGGTTCGAAGGGAGGGGAGGGGTTTTTACTTTAGCATAATTAAGGATATTATACGGCAAGTCCAACAGGGGTTCGAACCAATAGACCGCCTAGAGGTAGGCATATACATGCGAAGGTCCCTGTTGGGGATCAAAAGAGAGATTTTCGGTCTAGGATGGCCCAAAGCTGTGCTTTAAGACCACAATATTATATAATTATATCTTTTTTTTATACCGGCAAATAATATTTTTAGTCTGACGACCCCGTCGTTGCGTCGGAAGACGACTCTGAGGGGTCCATGCTTGTCCGAAGGGAGTAGGAAGTTCGCCCGACCTCCCGCTGGCGCCACCACTGCTAAGAATTATACACTACACTACATTATTCATTTGAGAGGCCAATGTGGTATCTAATCGTGGTTATGCATTTGCAGAAACCATAAAATGCTGTATAATTCACAAAAGGAAATTGCAACGACAGCAGTAAATTAGATCTGTCTGTGTTATATTCCACTGCAGATGGGCTGTGCCACGATGGAATACGCCAGTCATCAGCAAACAAAGAATGTTATTTTATATCCATTGTTAATACGAGACTGCATTGGTTGTAGGTTTGGATGATACATACAATAAAACCCAAAAATCGAAACTTTATAGGCCTACAATTGCATAAAATGAGTATAATGTACATGATTTCGTACCTTTAATATTTTTTAAAGTACTGTAGTTCAAATTATGATCTCAGGCTCCGGAGGAAAAATAAATTTTGATATGTTGTACAACTGATTTTTTTCTAAGACACAAAAAACATATTTGACGAAAAACTTGGGAAGGAGATACAGAATTTTAAAATATTTATAAACACCTTTTTTCACCAGCTTTTAAATATTCAAAAATCTGTATCTCATTCCGTTCCCAGGTTTTTCTTCAAATATGGCTTTTTTCATCCGGAGCCTGACGTTAAATTGTTCCCTTAGGTAAGGTATTTTTTAGATAGGTAGGTCCTACTTATTTAATATTTAGGCACAAGGACCAAGGATATGCCAATAGCAAACTTCATCGCTTTCTTAGCGGAAAATCACTTTGATGAGCCCTTTCACAAGCCCTTTTCCCCTCTCCCTGTCCGTAAAATATTGGCGCCACCACTGCCGCGTATGGGGTAATGACTTGGTCGGCAGTTGAAGTGATCCTTACAACAATTAGTATATATTTGTTTACATGTATATATATTGCCTCAATCTCTATTTCAGTAAAATGATATTAAGAATTATGACCCATCTGTGTGTTGGGAGCACACAACAGGAAATTGTTGCCCGTTGGGGCCGATGCACTACCCCGAGGCACCACCAGGTGTAGCACTGCACTGTCACCGCCGGGGGTCCTTGGGGACCCAGCACTTGAGAACCAATACGAATCAGTATAGCCTAGGGCCTACTTTACTTTCAAGAACCATTTCATTACTAATTATCGAAAGGAAATAGATGTCTGGTACGTTCATGCTCCATCGAAATATTATAATGTAATAAACAGAGTGGAGCTTTTGATGCTTGCTTCAATCAGGGGTGGCGCCAGGATTTGCCCGACGGGTGTCCAGTGGTGGCGCCAGGACCTGCCGGAAGGAGGGGCTAAAGGCCCCGACGGGGGGGGGGGGCTAGTGGAGCGAATCGAGTCTCACTTGGCTGGGGCCAGGGGGCCGCCTGGGGCCTCCCGGTGGTGGCATAGAAAGGGGGATAGGAAGCCACAGATATTTGATGAATTATGGCGAATTTTTATTACTTATTTGATAGGCATCGAGTTACTATGACTTCATGTAGGCTATGCTTTCTAATGTTGAAATCAGCTTCCATAACCAAAACATTTTGAATAAAGCAAGAAACAAAGAGTATGCAATGTAACCATCTAATTTATTTTCAAATCCTCGTTCTTGAAAGTGAAATTCTAGGCTATATTTTGGAAATTTTGCATGAAATCTGTCAACCACGATGTCATTGTCGAGGTTGCTTTACCTATCACGAAGTATTCCAACCATCACGAGGCCATCTAAATGAGCATTTGTCATAACAGAACGCAAATTATTTTTAATTAGTCTCATTGAATTATTATTACTGTATTATTATTATTATTATTATTATTATTATTATTATTATTGTTGTTGTTGTTGTTGTGATGATGATGAAAAGTTAACACAAACAATATGGTGGCTAAACGAATATTACATGTAAATATTTCTTTTATTTGTTTGTTCCCCGACAAAACTTATCGTCTTCCCCGACGGGAGGGGACTATGCTTCCCCGTCGGGGGGGGGCGCTATATCCCCAGCCCCCCTCTGGCGCCACCACTGCGGGTTCCGAGGTATCCAACGGAGGTGGGGGGGAGGGGGTTGATGTCTTCGAAGACAGCATAGTTGGTGTGTCGGGTGTTGCTTAAAATCTTTCGAAAAGTAGTCCAGGGCCGAAAAAGTATGATAATAATATGACAATTTAGGGGTTTCAAAGGCTTATTTTTTTAGAATCTACTAATATTTTGAAAATACGGGGAGAGTGTGGGGGTAGCTTTAAAAAATCAAGAAAAAATACTTTCCCGCCAAGAAAACCGGCCCCTTGTTGCCGCCAGCTCTGTGTGAGTTTTTGGTCTTTGTCCCGGAAAATGTATTCTTTTGGATTGCTGGAAATTGGTCCTCGGCCACTTTCAGAGTCGTTTTACAACTAAACTTGCATTTTTTCTGGCGTAATACAGATTCGAAAAACAATGTTATTGGTACATTGGAAGACTATGCCATGCCTTTCCTCGTAACTGACATTAATGGATGTTGGTGAAATGCATATTTTAATGTAGCTGTGTTCTCGATATTCATTTCGCTTATCATTTCTGGGCATCTTAAAATAAGTTTTAACATTTTTCTAAAATGTTCTCATAGGGCGATTTTTTTTCCATCTCGTTCGAACCAGAAATTATGAGAGCTCCAGCCTCATCCCTCATCTGCTTCCTCCTACAATGTACACCTCGTTTTCCCCCCTAGAGTAAATACAGTGGGTGGTTCTTATGTTTGGATCGTCGGGTACTAAGATTTTCATTGATCTAACATGTGAATCTCCATTGCCATACGCGAATATTTACACAAAACATTAAAATACGCACAGACGAAACTAATGTAACTATAATTTATAATCAAAACGGCAAACTGTGTTTGATAAAGTGAACGGGGTAGTATTGTAAACAGCATAGAGGCAGTTTATTACACTACACATACAGCATTATTATAATAATTATTACTGAAACAAAACCCGGGGACATCATTCTACATCGTGCTACAGTATTTATTTTACAATTTGAAAAGGTTTTTTTAATAGGCCCTATAAGTTATTTACAGGTAATCCACCCCGCCTCAAATAAAAATCGAGTAAAAACCACATATAGCATTATTATATTAATTATTACTGAAACAAAACCTGGGGACATCTTTCTACTTCGTGCTACAGTATTTATTTTACAATTTGAAAAGGTTTTTTTAATAGGCCCTATAAGTTATTTACAGATAATCCACCCCCACCCCAAATATAATTCAAGTTAAAACCACAAATTCAAATACCTGTACAAAAGTATCTATTTTTAATAAGTCATATATTTTTTTTAATAATAGAGTAATTTACAGATGTTTTACTACTGAAAGTTTAAAAAATCTGCTGGCATTGGTATTATATTAATAGGTCTATTATAGTAAGTTTTTGCAAGCTTAAGGTTACGTCATCAACCCTTTCTCTACAGTAGTATATCTCTCACAACGTAGGCGATTTATACCTTTTGCATAAACCAAGGATCATATTCAGCTTCTTCGCATTTTGTCAATAGGGAGATTTCGCAACCTTACGAAAACGATTAACGAATACATCATTATCATTATGTCATTCGTGTCTTCATAATATGCTGAAAGAACTGAATACGATCCTTGGTTCATGCAAAAGGCATGAATCGCCTACGTTGTCATAGATATGCTATTGTAGGGGAAGGTTTATCTAAAATTTTGATGACGTAACCGTTTTTGTATGCTTGCGAAGTCCCTATTTTTTTTAGGTACGAATGATGATAAACGACGTATTCGTCTTCGTTATCCTAAGTTTGCGAAATCTCCCTATTAACTGCATGGGGATTGCTACTGGACTCCACTGGTGGTACTGATTTTCAGATTTTACTGCATAGTTTTCACTGCCAGCAGCTGGGCCAATGTCAAATTTGTTGGGGAAAAATTAAACATTGGGTGGGTGGGTGTGGACTTTGGCCTATCGATGAACAATGGGGTACGATGAACAACCTGTCAGGGAAAAGCTGGCGTCACCCTTGGAAGTCGTACTTTGTGTCTGTTGAGGGTTGACTTCCGTATTCGGTTTTTTATACTCTCTATTGCCCTCTTCCAGAAGTATTTCACTCTACTAACCATTTGCATCATATTCAAGTGGACTGAATGTTGTGACTTTTTTTTGTATGTTGTCCAACTGACACAATGGCAGTAAAAGCTACGGGAAAAACAAAAATCTAAACTCAAACTACTAACATTATTATCGATAATAATAATGTATCAGACAAGAACTTTAATGGTGCACTTTCCAGGACAACAGAAAAGAACAAAACCAGAATAAACGGTTGAAATGGAAAAGAAAGCGGTAGAAAAAAACAAAAAACACAAATAAAAAAACAAAAACTGAAAATACTAATTAATACTATAATGAAAATTAAATTAGAATATTGATAAAAATAATACTGTAATACTAATTCTAGTAGTACTTTTATTATTAGGACTACTATACTGTTATTATTACAGTACCAATAGTAGTGCAGTAATATTATTAATAATAATAGTAGTAATAATAATACACCTGTACTACTATCAGTATTCATATTCAAATATATGTATAAGAAATACACACGAAACACTTAGACGTTATTTCAATGTATTTATTATAAAAAGTTCATTTCCAAAACAATTTACAAGACCAATCACCTTTTTTAGGATTATCGTGAGAAATACAAAGAGAATCATTATAAAAACCATTCGAAAATATGAAAATAATTTATGAACAAATCAAGATTGTTTCACAGATTGTGCCCATCAAGAACAGACCTGTTATTGCTTTTAACATCCCATAATTATGGCATTACTGCTTAGACAAAATTGCCAAACATTACCTCGGTAGGGCGATATTTATTTACATTTAAAAAAAATACCAAATAAATAAAGAAATGGCCCTTCAAACTCAATAATATCAAATATACAATTGTATAATTTATAAATCACTACTTTCTAAAAACCCCTTTTCTCAACCTATTAATATGTAACATGCTAAATTAGACAATTTGCAAGAAAAGCTTAGTAAAACATCCCTTCCCCTGGTCATACAGGTCTCTCTCTAATTAAAGACCACTTTTGGGACTGTGATTTCCATGGTCTTTTAGCAGCTTTGGTCTCTAATTAGAATAATAAAGATAAAAGACATCCATTACTCTGGGACCACAGAAAAACGGTCTTTAATTGGAAGTGGTCATTAATTGAAGGGGTATTTAATTAGAGGGAGACCTGTATTAATTCTGAAATATTTGACAAAAATGGAGTTTTTTTTTATTCATTGAAAACTTGATACATAACCATAATTTCAAGGTGAGTGTACTATAGATTGGATGGACTCAAAATTACACTTATTTGTGAGTTGTTCATCACACAGCTATTTGTTTTATTAATACAAGTGCCAAACTGGACAATTGGCCAATCAGAACAGAGCCAGGATAACATGCACACATGAGTTGTCAAATGTCAACAGTACATTTATGCTGTCGTTTTGTAGATAAAAAAATATTGAAGGGCTGGGTTTAGCAGAAGGGTAATTTCATTAATACTATATTCATCTATTAAATCAAATAGCAAATCAAGATGAGAGAAGGGGCACATGACACATGGAACTCCCTCCCCCCTTATGTTGACTACTAATGTTTGTGTTATGTAAGTTGATTCAAATACTGCCCCTCACTCTTCATCTCACTTCATAGATAATACCAAATTAGTTACAAATATTAATTAATATACAACACCCACCCCTCCCTGGTTTGACTGTCAAAATAAATTGGATCCCCTCAACACTACCACCACCCTCCTCCATCCCACTCCTAAAAATTGCAAACCCGGGCAAATAACATATTTGCAAATTCAACAGGAAATTTCCATCAGTGTCCTCAAAGCCCCATTGAACACATTTAAAACGTTTTTTCTTAATTCCAACATTTCATTTTTTAAAGTACATTTATGCTCTTGGGTAATGCACTATATCATTAATTCATTATTAGAATAGATTATGAGTTTGTGTAATAAGTCATGAAAGATGCATACAAATTTTGACTTAAGGTCTTCTAATCAGATTAGAAAGTAAAGGAACCATCATCTTCCAGAAAAACATTTGACCAGCCTCTCTTTCAATACATTATTACTGGCAGCACCTGGATCCATACTGACGCCATAATAACTAAGTTCACTACAAGGTCAAATGTTGATAAATTACAAGTACATTACCAATGTAAAGGTTATAATCAATTATTCATGGTAATATTATATGACTATAAATTTAATCAAGTTTAAAGCATCAATTTCATTCAACAGTAAGTACCATTCCGATAAATGAATATTCTTACGTTAAAAAATTTGTCCAAACAGGAATGAGAGAAGAAAAAAAATACATGAAACTCATGATTGTTAAAATTGATATACAAATGGTAATATTATTAACATTAGTATTTTAAAATGTATATCGCTAAAGTTAAAATAGAAAATGTCCAGAAAAGGGACAATACAAAAGCCAATAAATTAAAATATTGAGAATAAATATCTCAAAGGCACTTCATCTATGTTTTATCTCTCTCCACCCAGAAGTATTGGTTACAAAGTAGAATGTGAATGCCCTATGTTGAATGTATTGATAATTGCTGAATATTCATGACCTTTTAACTGAATATTTATTATCTTTGTCAAATATTCATGAGTAGGTATACCCCCTATGGAGTAGGAGGTTGCACATTGCAATGATTATTAGTGTCCAATTACCAGGCTAAAAATGTGAAGCACCTTGGTCTTTAAAGTCCATAATATAAGCCTTATAAATTAATAACTTAACATACACAAATTAACAGTGATATCAGTAGTCTATGGGTTGGATAATGTACCTGGATAAACTAACTATTGCGATTTTATCCTTAAATGAACACTCCAATAAAGAAAATAGAACTGTCCATATCAGGGTACCATATGTCCATACCAATGCCCATAATTTTTTGTAGAGTGTTTATTTGAAAAAAAAAAAAACCAATTAAAATAGACCTAATTAATAACTTCATGACTTGGAAAATGTATTGAGTTAGAAAAAAAAAATAATTTGACACGCAACTTATTTATGTTCATCATTTCATGTAACATGGGCTTCTTGATTGTGCTTATTACAAAAATATTTATGTGTTTATATACAAATGTATCACCAATTGCACAGATATAGGGAAGCACTTTCAATTTTTGTGTAGCCAAAACTATTCAAGCAATTTAACTATGGCAAATGGTATCTTAACAATCATTAAATAAGGGGGCAGTGAAAGCAAATAATAAACCTCAGCACACCATTTTTATAGCTCTTAGCTACCCAAATAAAAATAAAATTTACATTATTTAAATATTTTATTAAAATATTAAAATTATTATATTAAAAATAACCTTATTAGTTCTATCTATTAGTTTCAATTATGAATGTACTACATTTATTGTACTACAATTATTTTCTAATTAATTGATTAATTATTTTTTCATTGCAAATAAATTTGTTTACTTATCTTTATTAATAGTGCCTTTTTCCAACATTCTTGTCCAGAATTTTATTAATACCTTAAACTTTCAAGTACTGTTAGTTTGGAATATCTACAGGTTTTACCTTTCCCTGTATTGAAAACCACCGAAGCAGAACTATTATGCTATGCTGGATACCAGATTAAAATTCTTCAGATTTCATTGTCATGATTTACATAAATAAAAATATATATTTGTGTGGTTTTAGAATTCCTATCATTCCCCATGTTTCACTGTGATCTCTAGTACAACTGAACAAAACATTGGATAAAAAGATACAAATACACAGGCAAGAGTTCTCAGCAAGATATCGCAGTACAAGCTTAACATGTGATTGCCACCTTTCAAATGCCATCTATTCTTGATATAAATCTGTTTCTAGGCCTGATATTACGTTGTACCGTACTTTGTCGTTTCGAATGCTCCTTTCTTAAAAAATGGTGCAAATTCACAAAGAATTCCCTTGGAGATTGTCCTGCCAGGCCCAGGTGCTATCGGACAATGTCCAATCTTCAAACATGCAGCGATGAAATTCCGTAAATAATCCTGTTAGAGTAGAAATGGAAAAAAGCTTGCTTTATAGATGACTAGCTTTAAACTAGTGCATTATTCTGGGCACTCATTGGACCCAACGGTCGTCGACCAACACGATTCCATGAAGAACACAACACCACAAAAAAGGCGCAATGTATCATTTTTAATGACAATCTGTTCAGACTGCCAACGACAATCAGCAGACGGCATCGCGCTGTCTATCGCTCACAAGGAACAGAGTTGGATTTGTCGTCCGACCGTCGTAAGACGCAGTGAGTTCCCGGTTTTAGACCTTTAGGTGAGACTTTTTTTTATACTTTGTATACCGAATCTGCCGCCCGCCAATAATGATGATTTTGAATAAAAATAAAATTTTATTTTTTACCAATTAGCACACCCGCCGCTACGAAAAAAATAGAAATTTCAGAAAAAAATAAAAATTTTTCTTTATTTTTATTACACCCGTTGCTGCCTTGAAATCTCCAAAAATAAGAATGTATATTTCTTCCAAGTTATATAAATTTAAAGCATTTAACCATCTCATTACTACACAGTTTACATTCACCAATAAAATTTTATTTTTATTTTCTCGTCCGTCTGAATGTTTTTGGCAAAACTATTTGCTAAATAAGAAAACATTATCTATTTTAAATTTTTTCTGCTTTCCTCTGACAAGCTTTAAAAAAATAAGTTTTGAAAAAACGTGTAAAAAAGTATCGCCTTAAATAAAATCTTTTGATTTTGTAACAGATCAAAAAAATAATGAAAGTCATTGTTATCTTCATAACCACCATTGTTATTGACATTGATCGACATCATCATCACCATCATCCTTCTCATCATTATCATCATAATCATCATCATCATCCTCATCATGACTACCATCACTGTCATCTTTATGATTATCATCATCATTATAAATGTAATTGGTACACAAAAAAAATCCAGTACTTACCTCTAAATTACCTCTACGTTTAAATACAACTTTTTCTGATTTATTTCCAAATAATTTCTTCGGTGGAAACTCAAGCAATCCAATCTGTGTTGAAATTGAAAATAAAATATAGATAAATAAATAATAAATTATAAAGTGTATATAAAAATAGATATAAAAATTAATGAATTCCATGGATCACTACCCCATTTGTATACATGCAAATGTCATAGCCCAATTGGAGGTTTTTCATTCCCCTGTTATGCTTCTAAACTTTGCAATAATCTTTAAATAATAAATTATACAGTGTATATAAAAATAGATATAAAATTAATGAATTACATGGATCACTACCCCATTTGTATACATGCAAATGTCATAGCACAATTGGAGGTTTTTCATTCCCCTGTTAATATGCTTCTAAACTTTGCAAATAATCTTCCAACTGACATTAGAGATATTTCAGATCCTCATCTTTTTAAACATGCACTCAAGACTTACTTGTTTGCCTAATATCACTCTTCTCCACTTTCCTTTTGTGTTTAATTGTTGTAATCTGTATTATTTAATCTTTCTTTGTTTTTGTGAGACTGTACTATTGTGATTCATGGGGTTCCTGAACAATGACCAATTTTATGCCTACAGTACCATTGTTTTCCTGCATTACTGAGGCTTGGCTTGTGCTTCATAACCGGAAAGGGAAAATACCCAGTACCAGTTGACCAAGAATGTGCTGTGGTGAATCCAAGCGCCAGTAGAGTTTGAATTATTTTATTTTTTTTCAACAATTCTGATGTCACAACACACAGATTATTTTTCATAATGTTCTTTCTTCTACTACTGTACATGCTTACTGTTGGTGTAGACCTATTCAATTTATATTTTTTAGACTGATATTATAGAAAAGAATTATAGTGTGTTTACCTCAAGGTATTTTTTCTTCATAATTTCATGAAGCTCTCTAAACTTGCTGTACCGTCGGTAAACAATCCAAGTTTCGTTCAGTATGGTGATCTGCACCTCAAACACGTAATGAGAGTCCCAACCGTGGCCACGCAACATGTACCGTGGTATCGTGATCTTGATTAAGTCTTTCACTTCTTCAGTATGGGCAGCCAATGGTGCATCAAAGGACTAGAATGAATAAATAAATCAAATGTAAATTTATACCTAATGAATGATGAATTTTGTAGAAAATTGAATATGTATTTGAGAGAATCACTATAATCAGAATACACCAAAATAGCACAATAAACATATGACAGAAACATATATTTGTTGTGCTATTTTGGTGTATTCTGATTATAGTGATTCTCTCAAATACACCAAAATAGCACAACAAACATATGACAGAAACATTTTGGAAGCAACTGGAATACTCGAGCACATGAATAAGTGATCAATTAAGAGTCATAAAGTATCCATAATACCTGTATATTAAGTTGTTCAAAACTAGAGCCCACTATTAAGCAATTAGCATAGCTGCGCATAGTGCACTAGTGGAAAATTATTATACTTAGGTTAGATTTAATGCATGTACAAATTTCCTGATGGCCTGCAAGGGAAATTTTGAATGCATTAAATCTAACCTAAGTATAATAATTTACCCCTAGTGTACGATGCATGCACTACTAATTGCTTTATAAGTCAATTGCCGTCTTTTAATGTTAGTTTTGATAATCAACTGTTGTAGCAGTTATCGGTTGCTATAGTGATATCATCAGTATACTGTGTGCGTACACTAGGGGAAAATTCCCCTAGTGTTGCTGCAGTACGCACTAACACACAGCAAAGTTGTTAAACATCAGTACGGATACGATGATTGAATAAATATTTGAATGTGTTTGAAGAACTTGTAATGCTATTTTGAAAGACAATCATCAAAGAAATAAACATTTCTTAAAGCATTTGAGAGCCGTATACAGTAATCACTTTTTGGTAGGTGCAGACTGTAATATCATGTGATGATTTCATATGTAGGCCTAGGCCACGACGGCCTCCTAGCCTACATTAAATTTCATTCCTTGAGCCTTTAAAATAGGTCTAGAGTATTCCTAATAAATGTTTAGTTTCTTTGGTTTATTAGGGTTCATTGATTCAAGAAATTCTTTAATTTTTCATACATAATATTGAATCTGAAGTAAATTTTCCTCGGGTTGTAATCAACCTTGTTTTACGAAAGGAATTTTTCAATTACCACTTGTCAAGTAATGACGACTGGGCAAGTGTCTGCCTTCTCTTTCCACAGACGCGTGTCATAGTGCTAGGTGTTAAAACACTAGCCTACAATTCATCTAATGAAAAATTTGTGAATGGATAGGAAAATAAAATTGGGAGTGATGCCGTCATGGTTGACTTATAACAAATGTGGCAAAGACAAGCCAAACCAGTCACTCGTCGCAAATTCTGTTTCAGAGAAAATAGCAAAAACATGCTAGAATGTAATATTTTAAAAAATCTATTTTATTTCACTAAACTAAGGTTCATGTATCTATACATCATGCTGTGCTGTTATTTTTCCCAATTTAAATGTTAAAACAACACTTTTTAATGATTTTATAATAGTTTCTGCATGAGAAATGCCTGAAATCATAAACTTTGAAGGCTGATTTCTCATATATTGTTCTTTAAACAGCTGTATGCTTAAATGCTTGTAACTTTATAAGGAAATGTCAGATTTGAATGATTTTTTTACCATTTTATAGCTCTTATTTTACTCTTAAACCCTGTATTACTAACTCAAAATCGAATGTTGCGACGAGTGACTGGTTTGGCTTGTCTGTGCCACAAATATTATGTGACAAATGTGTGTGATGTGACCATATATGGGCATGAATGTGTACTATTAGTATTACACATACAATTTGATAGTGTGTACAGTCAGAGCTTAAAACAAAATGATGTGTGTTAATAAACAGTTGAAATGAAAATATTGGCAACATATTCATTATCCTCAAAGTTAAATTTGTTAACATAAAAATAAAATTAGTACAAAAAATAAACTGAACTTTCACAAGAAATAAAATCCACAACAAAAACAAAAGTAGTTAAAGCTGATAGGTACCAAATTAATAGGAAAACCAAACCAAATGCACAAGCAACAAAAAGCAACACTCAACATAAGCGTCAGTAATCATCACTCACCCCTTCCCGCCTTCTACCAGATCCATTAGGGAACCCATCAGTGTTCTGTTGGAATAATAGCATGTGGAAGAAAACCAATGAATTAAAGAGATACAATATTAATTATATACAGCAAGCAATATTAAGAAACGTATGATTTTATAATGTGGCTGCAAGGTTTTTTTTTAACAGTTTGTTATTATACAATTAAAATATGTGAGCAACCCATGATCTCTAAACCAGTAGAAAGTTCATTTTTAAAATATATATACATTAATAAAACAGCGGCTACTACAATTTGCATTATTTAGCTAGTTGCATATTGAAATTTTCTATTACATTGTATATTGCAAGCATTAAATTAAAAATAAATTAGATTGAAATTTTTTATTACACTGTATATTGCAAGCATTAGATTAAAAATATACATAACATATTGAAATTTGCCAGTACACTTTGCATATTGCAAACATTACATTAACAATATACATTTTATATTCAATTTCAAAATTTCTATTTGGTTCAAAATATGTGTTATTAATCAAATATTCCATGATCCTCAAAGCAGTTAAAATGTTAATAAGTCACTGTGTACTCTAAACTAGCTGCGCACGCCCATATCAAGGCTTATGTTGATTGACATGCACCACATGCACACAGCATAGGTTTATTGACCTTGAATATGGGCATGTACAGCTCAGACTAAGAAATGGCTTAATAATAAAGTTGATACTTGATCAAAGAATTATAGCACAAAGCAAGCGTCCCCAACAAAATGCACGTCAACAAAAACAACATTCCAGTCAGGAGTGGCGCCAGTGGTGGGCCAGAGCCCCCTGTCGGGGAGAGCTGGCCACCCCCCCACGTCGGGGAGAAAAAGCACAATTCGTCGGGGAGAAAAAAAAATTATATGTATTTTCTACATATTAGTAGACTCTAAAATAGATTAAATAAGCCTTTGAAACCCCTAAATTGTTAAAATTTTCAGGGGCTTCGCCCACTGGACCACTTTCAAATCCTTTTAATCGAAGCTTGACCACGTCCACATTGCTTTTGTCGGGCAAATCCTGGCGCCACCTCTGATTCCAGTCCATGCAAATTCCTTTCCCTGTGTGACACAAAGCGTGTGTATACTCTATGTATAATCGATCTAAAAATTACGGCCAAATTTATTACCAAAAAATTTATATAACGACCTGCTGAATGGCCAAATATAAAGAGTCATGACTGTTATGACCTTTGACTCGCAACAAAAATAAAAATGAACAAAATGGTGAATGCAGACTATTTGATGAGAAAATGTTATAATGGGGCTGAAGAGTGGGAGGGCTGAGAGGGGTTATATATTTTTATGTTCTCAACTAGGGAGCAATGTAATATAACTACTCCCTGGTTCAACCAATCAAAGTGTGCAGTACAGTAATGACTAGCTACTGTATGTTTAGACTAAAAATTATTCAACATTAATGGCTGTGCACTTTTACTTAACACATTTAATCAAACGGAGAGGAGGAAATGCAAGTTCACATTGTATTATAATTTATTGATAACCTCAATTTGCATTACAAAACTATAACTTGGAATTTACATATTTCTATACTATATAAAAATATGAATATGATATATGTTAAATTAAAAACACACTTGGGCTCAGAATGGTGCTGTTAACCACTCATAATTTGCCATGATGAATTACTTCTGTTTAGTTTAACAAATTATTCCATAATAATGTATTGCACTTTTAAGTTCCCAACAACAAATTGTTCAAAAAAACATTTTTTTTATATAAAGTACTATTACCTTTAATGAAGATTGAAAACACTTACATATTAGTGTATTATCATTGCTATTACCATAGGTGAATTCAAGCCCAAGCCTGCCCCCCCCCCCCCTAAATTTTTGGAGATAAAAAACATGGAGACAATGGTGTACATATGTAAAAGTTCCTCTTTGGGCACCCTCTATCTTGGATTCCTGGATCCGTCACTGTTTTGAAACCAAAACATCATTAAAAATAACACTGAAGATTCCTTACCTTCAAGCTTCCGTACGGATTAGACCTGCTTCCAAAAGAAACTTTCCTAAGTTAGAAAAAAATACATAGATATTCTGTTTTCTGAATTGCATACTTTTGAGCATGGATTGATTATTAAAATAAACTTGACCCATTAATAATTAAATAAAAAATACAATGATCAGTTTAATAATGAAAAAGAAATAATACAAATAAAATAATACTATCTAGTAATTATCAGTATTGATTATCGTGTTAAGTATATGAATATGGTTAATACTTGCTTGTCTGTGACATAAATAAATAATACATGAATTACTTAAACAGTTAATATAGTTAAGTGCTCTGATGCCTGAAGGGGAAAAATAATACAAGTAATGTATTAATCATAGTGGGGAGTAAATGGAAGCATTAAACACTCTGCAAAAATATACCTAGAAAACTTTGTTAACATAAATTGAGTTGCAAAAGGGCTGATCGGTACTAGTGATGCAGGGTGTCGCCTTAATTACTGAATTTACATCTTTCTTGTCCGTCTCTTTGATACCGCCGTACCAAATGATGATAAAACGAGGTCAAGATAATTTAATCCATCCATTTGTAAAATTAACACTTGAAAGAGAGGCGGATTTTGAACAACAAAATGACCAATACTTTCATTCCATTTTAAATCGTCAGATAAAGTGAATTTCAACGATTATTTTTCTATTCATTAGGAGCATGGGCAACGATTTCAAATACCACATCAATCATTATCTTATATAGTAACTGTCAATCCTTTCCACAAGAGAGACCTATACACATGACGCTCGTATACATATAAGGTTTAAAATGAGGAGTTGTTTTGGTAGCGATACAAGATTTTAACTTATGACCCTTGGAATTGAAGTCAGGCACCTTAACCACAAAGTTACAGATCCACTCAATATATATGATTATAAGCACTTTAAAATGTATATCAAAATGAAAAAGAAAAAAATTTATAAAAAAAAAATAAACATAAAATACAAGCAAAAATTATAAAAATAATAATACAATAAATACTTCCAAGTGCTTTATACTTTGTTGCTCAAATTACAAAATAACAAAATGAAAGTAGCTTGCATTAATTAACATAATACAAATTTGCTTGACGGGAAATTAGCGGTTATTTTGATGCGCTTTTTTTTTTCACGAACACAATTTACTTTTATTGTGTAAGTTTGTGAAGTGAAGTGTGAGGGCAGCAGACAAGTACCTTGATTCAAATCGTTTCTTTAGTTGTTCAATTTCTTTTTCATGTGCTTTTTGTAGAAGTTTCAACTCGTCTTGAATTTTCTTTTTTTCCATCAATTCCTTCTTCTCTCTTTCTACCTTTTCTTCAAATAGTTTCTTTTTAACTTCCTCTTCAACTTTTCTATGAAATCTAGTCAACATGTAAGATAAAAACAAAAAGTAACAATACATCTTAGATGCAAATTTTTACCAGTGACCACAGGAGTTACGATTTCTTACATGGTTGGTTCAATTCAATCTTTGTTCGTTTTATCATAAAACAATACAATAGATAATAAAATAATTATTGGAGCTCATTAAAACCTCAGAGAGGTTGTTCAGTTATGAGTCCATTTGTAATTAAAATCATTAAGTATCCAAATACATAAAAATCGTTAATGGTTGGACAAAACTTTTTTTATACCTTGTTTCGCAAACTTATTTTTTAAAGATCGTCAGAGGAGGGTGGGAAAAAATAAAAATTAAATTGGGTTTTCTTATTTAGCAAATGGTTTTGCCAAAAATATCCAGACGGAGGAGTAAATAAAATTAAAATGTTATTGTTAAAAGTAAACAGTGTAGTAATAAGATGGTTAAATGCTTTAAATTTTTATAATTAGGAAGAAACATACATAAATAGTATCTTACTTTTGGAGATTTCAAGGCAGCGGTGGGCGTAATGAAAATAAAGAAAAACTTTTTTTAGGCGGGTGCACTCACTGGCCAAAAATAAAATAAAATTTTTATTCGAAATCATTATTGGCAAGTGGTGGGTTCGCAAAGGTTAGACTTTTTTTATACCTTGTTTAGCGAGCTCGCCGACAGCAAATATTAATGATTTCGAATAAAAGTAAAATTTATTTTTTGGCAAATTAGCGCACTCGCCGCTGCGAAAAAGTGAAAATTTCAGAAAAAAATAAAAGTTTTTCTTTATTTTTATTACGAATTCCACTGCCTTGAAATCTCCAAAGATAAATTATGTATATTTCTTCCTAGTTATATAATTTTGAGAAATTTAACCATCTTATATTTACTTTTACCAATAAAATTTTATTTTAATTTCTCCTCTGTCTGGTTTTAGCAAAACTGTTTGCTAAATAAAAAAACAAAATTTTATTTCTATTTTTATTCTGCCCTCCTCCGATAATCTTTAAAAAAATAAGTATGCGAAACAAGAAATAAAAAAAGTCTCGCCTAAACAAGGTATAAAAAAGTCAACATATAACGTATAAAAGAAGACATCAGGGAAAAAGTTTACCTAAATTGCACAAAAATGTGAATGTTTTTAATTAAATTATTTAAAAATATCTAAACAATGAAAAATAAAATAAAACAGGCCGATATGATAAAACCAGTATGCAAAAATTTTGTGAAATAGTAAAACAACAGGCAATGAGCCAGGACAGAGGCGTAAACAATTGTAGTGAGTAAAATATTAGGAATGCATTAAAATATGGTGAAAACTTTTCTTTAAAATAAAAACTGATTTGGAAGACTTAAAGTTAATTGCTAAGTGAGTTATATATATTAGGACCAACAGTATTGACACTAAAGCTTGTATTTTTTTCAGTTTGTGGTTTGGAAATAATATGTATGTCATATTGAAAGAAAGATAGTGATAGTAGAAGATATGAAAAATTGGAAAATTAGGTAAAAGAGGGAAACTCAATGCAAAGTACATTCTTTTATATTTAAAAGTTGTTTCAGGAATACTTGATTTGATCTTTCAAATATTTTTTCATTTTTATCAAAATGTCTGCTTCAATGGTTGACCAATTATTCTTAGGATAACCACACTACATTAAACCTAAAAGACCTTAATTCAGTGACTTGTTATGGTAGATTACTTACAACAATGATCCATTCAGAGGGCAACCAAAGGTTAAGTCGGAATGTTTAGTGATTTTGGGATGAATTTGTTTTGTTGGCCACCGATGCAGTTACAGAAACAAACACCAGAGTGAATTAGTTGAATGGTTGAAGCGAGTGCTACTGAGGAAATCTGTTGGACTACCGATTAAGAGATTACAAGGCTGACATCCTGTTGTGTACTAGATCTGCTTCGCTTCTTCATGCCCAGAAGTTACATGGGTACTTTCTTACTTTATTTATTCTTTACTGCAATTTTGCATACAAAATCAAAGTTGAACAATTACCAAATAAAAATCAGCACAATGAAACACAAAAAGAACAACATAAAATTATAAAGTATAAAAATGGTGCATACTGTAGTTGAAAATATTATATATAATTAAAATATTGTTTGGTAGCGCAGTGAAGAAGTCGGTGTGTACCATACAGTGGATCCAAGTGAAGAGATACAACAGTGAAATACACAGTGAGGATTGGCTGGGATTACAATTTACATGTGCATAATATAATGATGACTGAGCTATTATCTATTTAATATCTCTGTGGTTATAATTATTACCTATCTTGGTCCTCCATTTCAGCAAGCTTTAATTTCTCTGCTTGAATTCTTTCAAGTTCTGCTTTTCTTTGACCTTCAAAATCCAACTGCTTCTTCTCCAACTCTGCCTGGTTCACCTGCATCTGGTCTTCAAGAATCTCCAAATGCTACAATCATAGAACATAAATAGTATGTATGTTGGTATGGGCAACCTGCCTTTAGCCAGATGGTATTGGGTTCAAATCCCAATATCCAAATGCTATAATAATCAACACAAAAATATACACATGCAATTAAATATAGCATTAAGAAACACCTCCATTAGAGATGCATGAAAATGGTAAGTTAGTTGAGTAACCTACTTGTAGTTCTTTAGTGCTTTACACCTACATGTGAATTTGAAAAGAAATAATCAGATGTACGAATAAAACTTAAAACATGCATTTAATGTTATTTAAAGATTTAAAAAAATGATTAATTTATATATTAATCTAGGGCAATCCATCCATCAAAGCTGATTATTTGTGACCCTCGATGATCTTTAATCAAGTCTAGATTAGACCTAGCAAGTCGCAGATTTCTTAGAGAGATTTTATTCACAGTATATCTAGGACATCAGGCTTACAACACAATATTTCTGTTGAGGACATTATTGATTAATGGAATCCAGGAGACCTTGAAAATGTAAATTAGGCCTAGGTAGTGGAGATCTGATCATTTGGGACCCTTGGGGCATTTAAAAACTTGTCTCACAAAGTGGAGAGCTGTGGGGTTTTATGAGGATATTTGAGCTCTATAATAAATCTTGGCAAGTGTAGTTGTTTTGGGTAGTGAGTGAAATGCTAACATTCTGGAAGGGTTGAACCCAAGACTTTAGTATTAGAAGATGAGCGCTTTACCTCTAAGTCACAGATTCATTTAATTTCTCGTGTTTAGTCATGTACTAGAATTAATGCATTGTTGACTACAGGAATTGATGTCTCACTAGAGGCCAACTCAGACAGCGTCGTGCGACACATCTCAAAAAGATTTGCTGTTGCGTTGGGTCTGTGTAAGTTATACACTGATGTGATAGGTTTGCATTGGGAAAGTCTGTTTGTTCGTGGAATATTAAACATGTTCAATATTCTCACGATGACCTAAAGGCTACATCGTACCATGCTGTCTGAGGCGGCCTTAGTTGATCAAAAGATGGATGGATGCATATTCTTTAATAAAATTTACATGTAACTAAAATTTAAAGAAAAACAACAAGCAGATGACAAAGAATCAAGCATGAAAAAAGAAGAAAACCTAATGCACCCGGTTAGAAACAGAACTCATGAATATTATACATTTCATGAATGTGACAATGCATAAGTAGTAATTAGCATTTTAGTATTGGATAATAATTATACATGAATTTTAATAATTCATTTCCTTGTAGCAATATCATTCACTTTAAACAGAAATCTGATTGAAATATAGAACTGTTGTGAAGCAAACTCAGAGAACAGAAGAAAATTTGTAAAATTATTGTAGAATTGAAGGTTGTTAGGATGCAGATTTGCCAACCTTAGCCTTGATGTGCAGATCCGGGGATAGGTCATGTACCTCTTCTTTTGATTTGGACTGTGTGAAGTGAGAAGATGCAATATATAAATGATTCCCAATGGCAAGTTAATTGTGTACCAAGCAGCATTAAAATTTATAATGCCAACAATATTGCAACAGCAATTTGCATCAAAATAATTCAACAGTTCTGCAGTTTTCCCCCACATGATGCATTATTTTAAGTCTGCATATTCAGCCATCCATATGCTAGTGTAGACATTTGCTAGTACTCCAAGCGTAACTTAAATTCATGACGGGGGAGTGATTGATAAACTAATATTTAATACCTTTAGAGGCTTCACAGTCATAAAAAATTGCATGTTGGTAAAATTTATGCAATGTATGTACACACCAACTATGCATTAACCATGGAATGGTTCTATTCCCTTAAGCTTTTCTCCCTGTTAGAATCCTGTTCTTCCTGTAAAATACAGGTTATACAGTAACATAGTGGGCCATGCCCACTCGGGATCTTTGGGAATCCCTACCGAATATTGGTACGAAAACAACGTACATGCAATTAATAAATGTTATTTTTATCAAACGTAAATATGATTTTGCTTTAGTTTAATGTAACATTCGATAGATTTGAAGAATATAAAGAATTTTCTAAAGGTAGACCAGGCCCAATTGGGCTAGGCCGAGCTGATTAGGCCAAGCCGTCACGGTAATAATTGTAGGCCATCCAAAAGATGGCTGGATGGCTCGCTGGCTAAGCTTACAGTATGTAGTGAAATGAATAATATTGTTGTAAAATGTTTGGTACTTTACTATAGGTGTCCTCGTGCTAGTGATTATAACTATCTGTGGATAACCTGTTGGCATGTTGCGTTGTACGAATTGATAATCTGCTCGTTCAAAGCCTGTATTGGAATTTGTTGTGTTGAAAGCTTCCTGTATTGCGAAAGACATCCTGGAACAGTTTACCAATACAAGCTGACATGTATTGTGGACAACGGATGTTAAAGAACATTACACTGTTTCGAACTTTGAATACATGTTAATATTCCATATGTTCAGTTTATGGTTACACATGTGAAATTAAATATAGTTCATTATTACATAGACAATGTGATATGAGGGGTATGAGAAATACATTTATGAATGGTAACATTTGAGTCTGTGATAATTTACCCATGTGACACACCTTCAACACCATAGTACTGTATTCTGTTACTATACCACCTTCACCACTATAGTACTACTGTTACTATAACCACCTTCAACACTATAGTACTACTGTTTATAACCACCTTCAGCACTATATTATTACAGTTACTATAACCACCTTCACCACTACTGCCACTAGTACATAAAACTACGATAGGCTGGGTTAATATTGATGTGTATTATATTAAAATACATGAAAATGTTATTACTATAAATGAATAACAAAACAATTTCCCGACTCACATGTATTTTATGATGTAATCGAAGTTGCTCCTCTTGTAGTTTCCACTTGTTCTCCTTCAGCTTCTTCTCTTCCTCGTAGTCGTTAAGCTTCTGAAGATCATCAAGCCCCTGGTCGTCTTTCTCTGTCAATCGCTCCCTCTCCATCTTCACCTGCTCCATCTCCTCTTCCATAATCTTCTGTGACTTTTGCACCAGAAGACAATGTACTTCCTCCATATCAGAAATACTTTCCCTCAAAAACTGTATACGTTCTAGTTCAGTTTTGCGCTGTTGCTCGTTAAGCAGCTCGCGTTGCTTCAGCACGGTTTCCAATGATTCCTTTGATGCATCGTGTGAAGATTTCAACACTTCAATCCTTTCCCGTCCATCAACAACGTCAATGCCTTCCTGGTCAAGTTTTGAGGTCAAATCTTCCTGATTTTTTACGACCCCATTAAGAACTTTCTCATTTTCTTTAACTCTCTTCTTTATATCTTTTAAATCAAGTTCTCTAACTTCAATCTCTTTCTCTAGAGTCTCAACATCCCATCCATTCATGTTTTGTAGTTTCGCCCATTCCTCATCGAGAATCTTTTCATCTTTCTTTCGTCGTTCCTCCAAATGGCGAAATTCTTCCTCTATCGCTTGTTCAATCTCAATCTCCTGACAATTCAATTCCTCTTGTTCCTTTTCCATTTTTTCTTTTTCAATCGCTATTTCCTGCTTTTCTTCATTTAACTTTAGTTTTTCTTCCTCATTTTCATAACTCTCAGTTTCTAGAGCTCTTTGATTCTTCCCTTCTCTCTCAATCAACTCCCTACGTTTATCATCCAGTTCTGCACGTTTCTCCCAGATCTCTCCTACCATACGCTCAGCTTTATCCCGAATTTTTTCTTCTGCTTCCCTTATAGAATCGATCTGCACTTGTTTCAGTTGTTCGAAATTTTCCTTTGCTTTAATAAATTCTAAATTCTCTTTGGCAAGTTCAGCAGACGCAGTTTCCTCCATCTTGCTCAGTGCCTCCTTTGAAATCTTTAGTTTTTGTTTCAACCCCTCAAGCTTCAGCTGTTCCTTTTGTAATGCTTGGTATTCCTCATTTATCTCCCAGTCCAAGATTTCTTTTCGCTTTTTAAAGTCTTCCTCTGCCTGAAAAATGCAAATATGATAACATTTTAACAGGTTTTTTATTTTTTTTATTGGAATGATACATTCCAGGTTCATTTGTGATTTACTATTAATGGGTTTGTAGCTGTGAACTCATGTAATAGACTCTACCCTCCTCCTCTTAAATATCCTAAAGATGGAGTTGTCATAATGGACATTTCCATTAAGCCCCGTCCCTTAAATATTGTTGCTAATATCCTACAAAATGACAGCATAAGTTTATGAGTAGGTAAATATGTGTTTGTGGGACAGCAGGTGTGTTTGTAGGACAAGCATGTATTACTAGTCCTCTTCTGATTGGCCAGTTAAGTTTGATTGACTCTCCAAAAAGGTCCATCGAAGACTTTAGAGGAATTGTGTAAGAACATCACGCTATTCTCAACAACAAAATAATTGGTAGCATTTACTCAATGGTGATGATAATTATAATGATGATGAAAATTATGATAATGATAACGATAACAACACAATATCACTTGCCTCTTGCTTTGCCTTATCCAGCTCTTGACTCCTTTCTCCTAACCGATTAATCTCTGAATCTAGCCTTATCCTCTTTTCTTCAAAATCTATTTTCATTTTCTCTTGTTCTTGTTTAAGATCTTCCTCGGCCTCTTTTACAAGTTTGTTATGCTGTTCAACCATCTCCTCTAATTTTACTTTGTCTTCCTCAATGGCAAGTTCGAGTTCAATTCGATCTTTCTCAATCTGCATCCTTTCCTCCAACATTTGACTGGCTTCAAATACGCGACTTTCCCTCTCTTTTTCCATCTTTTCCTTTTCCAGATTGAACTCCTCCATTTGTTTCTGCACATCTAGACTTTGTCGCTTCAACTTGGCTTGCTCATTTTTTATCCTTTTCTCAGCATTTTCAGCTTCCTTTTTTGCATTTTCACTCTCAAGTCGTAATTTCTCAAGCTTCTTCCGCTTTTCTTCAATATCTTGTTCTTTTTTTGACTGTTCAACTCTTCGGTTTTCTTCAGATTGCATATATTTTTCTTCTAATTCTTGAATTTGAAGTCTAGAAATAGATTAATTATAAAATCAAACTATATTCTATATTAATAATAACCACCTTTTTATTACTATGACTATATTTAACCTCTTATAATAATTAGTAATATTATTTATATTAATGTTAATTTTGTCTACAAATTATCACTAATACTACCATTATTATTACTACAATTACAACATTTTTTATATTATTTTTATTCATTTTTTATTTTTGTTATTCACTTGATTTGTTTTTAAAATTAACAGCACAATACCTCTTTTCTTCTAGCTTCTCCCACTCTTCTCTTTGCTGCTTTTCAAGAAGAACGCTAAAAGAGTTGGAATGAAAAAAATATAAAATTGTAAAAATACTAACAACAATAAAGTCCTGTAATAAGATATTCTATTTATACTGGTTATAATAATAAAACGTAATACTAATTCGCTGACTGAGCTATGCTGCCCTCAATGAGTGCGGTCCGCAAAGATGAGAAAGTACTCCTTGTTTATGTCCAGATTGCAATTAACTAACATTTCCTTGATATAGCTTGTTAATAGACAAATAGTGCATTATACATCATTAATCAAATAGAGCCATTGATAAGTGAAAAAAATCCCTATTTTCTGGCGATTTTAAAATTAATGCTAACTGGGGCTCGTAACTTACTTGTGACTGTACATCAGTGAGGGCGCTATAAGGTTTTCTGTTGATCTCATCATTGATAGATCATTCATTGATTTTGACATATTGTTCAGTTCCTTCTTAAGGCGTTTGGCTTCAGCAGGATGGTTAAACCGAAACAAATTCGTTCTTCCTATTGACACAATACAACCTGCAGAAGAAGATGCATGTAAATAAAAAACACTGGTATACTGTACATAATGTGCAACTTTTATATAAAAAATAACACAGAATTTTAACAAAAACTTGTTTGAGGGAAATGCATCCAATATTTAGTAATAATTTGAATAAATCACTGATTCCTTCATAAGCAAAAATGATAAAAATTAAATTAAAATATTAAAACCACAGCTTACACATTAATGTCACAGTAAAATGTAAACATCATGACATTCATTCTGATTTGGCCACTCACAATTACAATAATACTGTACTATTATATGGGAAAGATTTTCTTTGATAATGGCTATCTTGGAGTGGAGCTGTGGCTTGGTGGTTAAGATACTTGCTTTCCAATCTAGGGCCCAAGGATCAAACCTTGTCCAACAACAGGATTTTTTTCTCACAACCAAAACAACTCTACTGGGGGGATCCCAGGGTGGCAAAAGTAGTGCTTGCCCCTACCTGCACACAACCATTTTGAAGCTTTTGAGGTGCATATCTCCTGAATCCCAACAATAGGCAAGATAATACCACAAAAAACCTTCCTCACTTGACCACAGGTTTTGCAACTTGTGGACTATGGTCCTTGATTGCCACTTGTACCACTCTGGCAAAATTTGTTTGGATCCGCTACTGAACTCCACTCCCTACGCCCCATAATGAGCACCTTGTGTATGTTTGTCTTGCCAAAAAAATTACCACCATGAGTAGAATAAGCGTAAATAAATAAATTACTGTACCTTGTGTTAAGGCGATTGGTCTGTCAATTGTTTTGCCATTTACAGCACACAGCGCTTTCTTTAATGGATGCAACGTAACAACACCATCTCGGTTAATTAGCATACAATGTTCATCCGCTACATCGACTCCATACAACACTGAAAGTATGAGAAATTAACAACTTGAAGGGATGGTAATGTAGCTTGGTGGTTAAGATGCTTTCCTGGAAAGTCTAGTTTAAAATATTAATAGTAGCTTACATATATCATTGCTCCGTTCTGCATCACAGTGCCCAATTGTTGTCTTTCCTTCCTATGGTAAAATTAGAAAACATGTTTGTTTAGTATTGCATAAGGGGCATTTGAAGTGGTGCTTTAGTTAAGATGTTTGCTTTCTAGCTTATGTGCTGGGTTCGATACTGGGTAAAAATGTATGAGATTTACACTCATAAAGACTATAGTAAAGAGATTTGGTTATAAGAGCAACCGAGGGTTCCAAATTATCAGCTCTCCACTCCCCAAACCTTAAAAAGATTCTTTTAGTAATAGAGCATCAATATTAAAAAATATTCAGCTTTTTCTAATCCTCAAGCTTCATTAAGATACACAAAATTTTATTAGTCCTCATATAAAACATACAAAGACATTTTGGATGTACAGCTTTTCGAATTAAAAAAGACAATAACATATAAAAGCTGCCTCATAAAGAGAATTGGTTAAAGAGCATCAAATGTCCGAAATGATCAACTTTTCACCCAAGCCTCACGAAGAGACTTGGTTGTAGAGCATCAAGGGTCACAAATGATCAGCTCTCCACTCTCCAAGCCTCATTAAGAGACTTGGTTGTAGAGGCATCAAGGGTCACAAATGATCAGTTCTCCACTCTCCAAGCCTCATTAAGAAACTTGGTTATATAGCTTCAAGGGTCACACATGATCTGTTCTCCACTCTCCAAGCCTCATTAAGAGACTTGGTTATATAGCATCAAGGGTCACAAATGATCAGCTCTCCACTCTCCAAGCCTCATTAACAGACTTGGTTATAGAGAATCCAGGGTCACAAATGATCAGCTCACCACTCCTGAAGCCTCATGAAGAAACATGGCATTAGAGCATGGAGAGTCTCTAGTCATCTGGCTGGTCTATACTTGCTGAAAATTCTTCTTGTAGTAGACAATTTGATGATGTCATTAAAATAGTAATATACAGTAATTTCAACAGAAACATGCTGACAGATGTTCATACCTTGACATGGTACAGCTTAAGTCCAGTGCTGAGCAAGTCATCGTCAATCCCAATCAGATGAGGTAGCTCCGAGTCCAGTACCACGCTTATACCCTCTGATCGTAAAGCCAATGTTTTTTCCTTTGAAAATAAAACAAAAAGAGAAATATTTATTAAAATGAAAGATGATACCATCTACATCTATTATAAATCTGTACATACTGTCTAAAAAGCTATTAGCCTTCAACCAAACAGAAAACAGGGATGAGATCTGGGGCATTGTGTCTAGATCCCCCAAAAAATAAAGTAACGAAGTTGGCAGGAGGTTATGTTTTTGCCTGTTTATTTATTTAGTTATTTATTTGTCTGTTGGCGTATTTGTTGTGAACAGCCCATAGTTTTTATCAGATATACATCAAACTTGGCCACGATCTTAGGTAAAGGTCTGATTAAATTTTGAAGGTTCAGTGTCAAAGGTCAAGTCACAATCAATTTATTTGTCTACAGCCCATAGTTTTAATCACAAACTTGTCAAACTTGGTCACAATGTTCAAAGTATTTGAATGTTGAAGGGTAAGGGTTAAAGTCACAACCAACAAAAAACAATTTTTTTGAAATAGTTTTTATCAGAAATTTATCGAACTTGATATGACAAATGTTCCTTTACCAAAGATCTGGAAGTAACTAAATTTTGATGGGTCAGGGTCAAAGGTCAAGAACACAATGATCGAAAAACTTGTATAACTGTTTGCCGTATAGACATGTGTGTGTACAGGCTTGCCGGTAAAGTGTAAACAAACATATGACAATTAATTTCAAAATTACATATGTGAAAACAGTTTGGTGTAGTGGTTAGAATGGTGTTTTCCACACTACCAGCCCCGGGATCAAATCCCAAGGAGTCTACTTGTATTTTTTTTATGGGAACAATATACAGGGGAAATTTATACTGAGGAGAATTATGTGGGCGGAGGTATGCACTCTCTGAGTGCCCTCTAGTTATTACTATTATTGTAGGATTAATTTACCATAACTCACATACTTTAAACTTGGTACTTTTTCGCTTTCATTTTGTTACTGATTGTTTTCTTGTTAATTCTTCTGGTGATTTGTAAGTTGGGATTTATTATTAATATTAATATAGTATTATTATTATTATCAAATCATCATTATCAATATCATTACTATTACTATTATTGTAGGATTAATTTACCATAAAGTTTACGTAACTCACATACTTTAAACTTAGTACTTTTTCAATTTCATTTTGTTACTGATAATTTTCTTCCCTTCAACCTTGTAAATTCTTCTGGTAATTTTGATATGAGTCAGCACTACTGTACATTACATCACCTACGATTTGATTGGCTGTAGACATACAGCCTGATGATGATTTAACTGTTCTGTAGTGTATATCAGGTTATTTAGGGCTTTCAAAGGGACTTTTCCACTCTTCCTTTTCCTGTAATTTTTTGTTTATGTAAAGTTTGTTGAAGCTATTTTTATATTTTAACTAGGTAAACTCTTCTATTAGTTTACTTTTTATGAATTGTTTATGGTGATTTAGATTAGTACAAAGAGATTTCAATGATTTAAAATTAACTAAAATACAAAACTTGACACCTGTGGTTTAATTTGCCGTGGCCATACGGCCCAAGGGTAAAGAAGTGCAGCTTCTGTTCTGCTTTGTTTATGTTACTGGTTTTCTGCTCCTTTCCTGGTAGCATCCATTTGGGTTATTCCCAACATCTTCCTGTCTTTTTGTTTATGTAAAGTTTAATGGTAAATTTTTGCATGATGCAAGTCAGGACTATAAACATTCATGTGACATAAATGTGTAATTTTCCCATATATGACATCATCATGCCTATATATGGACCAATCACAGATTTTTGTCCAATAAAACTGTAATTATTACAATTTTGTGTACTTTTTTTGGAGTGATTACCTTCATAATACGTTGCGTTTCCCTCCATTTTGTGCTCCACTCTTCTGTAAGCACTTTGATCTGCAAGAAAAAAAAAATTCTGTTATTGTTAAATATTGTGTAATCTAAGCCCAGTGTTATGTAACCATGGAAAAAGGGGTTATATACATGAATATATAATATAATATAAAAAATTACTGAGCTTTGAAAATATAATAATTTTGTGGCTTATGAAACCCTTGAGGTAACAGGAATAATTTTTCTCAGCTGTTGGAAGCTGTGTCCAAAGTACCAAATTGTATTTGACAAAAAACTGTTATATGCCCATATATAGTCATGGTGTGCCTATATATGGTCATGATGTGATGTCACCATTACCAAATAAAGCATGTCACATGTTTTAAATAAAATTAGATATTCTGGAAAGGGCTTTACTTAATTTTTGTATTAATTTTTTTCTATTTATTAATATTTTTTTTTTTACAAAATATGAAATAAGAAGAACTTTATTGCAATTACCATAATACAAAATTTATAAATAATAAGAGTAATAAAGAATAATAATAAATCACTCAAGGATAAAGTAAGGTTGAGTTATTGACATTATTTTTAGCTGTTGCAAAATGTTTGCAAAACTATTTTCTCCAAGATTGCATGGCATTTCCTGTAACCTTGCGAGTCTTAAAGAGTTTCTGTTTCAGTCTAAGCAGAAAAAAAGGGTTGTGTTCAACTTTGTGATGAAGTAAGTTAATAAATAATATAATGTTTTAAAAATTTTTAATGAAAATGACATCTTACCATGGCCTCGTTTTCATGCAGTTTGTCTACCATATAACTTTCTTTTGGTGACTCTGAGATAATCTGAAACAAAAGATGTTTCTATCCATAAGAATATTTATAAATTTTGTACCAACAAATATTTAATTTATTGAATATTTAAAAAAAAAGCTAATACAAATTTTATCATATAGTCTTACCTTAAAGCTTTGTCTACACTATCAAATTTTATCAAAAAAGTATCACATAAAATGTGATGGAAAATAAGAGTTGAACACGTTCAACTTTTTTTATACAATTTGATAGTATGTGATATGATGTCATCGTACCCAAATATGGGCACATCAAATTTTTTTTGTCGCATAAAATTTGATAGTGTAGACAAAGCTTACTCCTTTAACTTTCTGCTTCTGTTTTTGAACATGCTATCAAGTTAGGTTTTACTGGCAATACCACCCGCAGCCCGTTGAAATTTTTCCTTGGTCATTGGTTTGCTTGCTTTTTAAATTCTTCCTTAGATTTTTAATGTTAGGTTTGGTTGTATTGTCTTGTGCACTTGTGAACAATTTCAGTACATCCAGGTATTCATTTTACAAGTTCCTTAGAGTTTCATGAAGGTCCTTTTCTTCTTTATCCCCTTTTTAACATTTTAAAAATGCTTATTTGTAAATTGATTTGATGTTTAATAAATAAATAATTAAATTGAAGATAACAACAAACCACAATTCATAAAAAAACTCAAACATAAAAAACAGAGTTTTATTACTTACATGTCCTCCTAACATAGATTTTAGTCGATCTATCTCAGCTCTCAATTCTCTAATGATCTTAACATTGGGATCCTGTAAAGTAAGAAGAAATCATATAAATACTTAATAAATATGAATATGCACCAAATATTTAGGTTCTGTCGTGTGTAGGATTGTCTCCTCAAAACGTGACTCTGTGAGTATAAGGGTATATCACTTTGTGTGACCCTATGTGCATGTGATTATGTCAGCATGTGTGCTTATATCTGTCTACATTTCAGTATGAGGCGTGTTGCTATGTGTGTGTGTGTGCTTGCTTTATGTTCTTCTTTACAACATTATTATTATTGTTATTGGACAAGTATGCCATACCTCATTGACTGTGGGTTTGTTAATAATATTTTTAGCCCTGTTTGCATATCTCAGAGTGCTAAGAGATTCTCCATAGCTAACGTCTGCTGGTGATATAGCTGAAAACGAAGAAATAACGTTTATTATAATCACAATGAGTACTGACATAACACTATGATAAAATATTCTTTATATAACAGTGTCATCATCTTTATCTTCATTTTTAGCTATTAGCAAAAATATGTATATTTGGTGGTTTCTTATTAGGTGGTAATTGGGTGGCAGTGGTATAGGCCTCCTATGGGCAAGTGGGGCTGCCCCAAATATAGCTTGCAACCCCAGATGTCCCCACTGGAAATTTGTTGAGCAAAAAAAAAAAAAAAAAAAAAAAATGCACTCAAAAAGTTAAAAATAACAACATATTTTTCCAGAGCACCACTATTTTAATTTCCTCTCACTTAACTTCTGTGGCACACCACCACCCTGCACTAGCCCAGAGTCAATGGTCCTACTGTAGATACACCATTGGTGGGTGGCTATCTCAATTATAATCTTTGTGAATATTTTCAACCATTGTATGGTCCCCATTATAACTAAAGAAATACTATACTGTAATATATAATAATATAAAAGATTAAAAATATGAACCACAATGGAAATAAGTTTCATTTTTCAGTACTTTATTGTGTTTTTATCCAATTTTGTATTCTAAAGAAAGAAATAAATAAACTTAATTTTTTCATGTTTAAAATTAATTTTAAAAATACATGTACTTACTGGCAACCATTATGGTCTTTGAATTTCCCCCTAAACTGTCTTTAAGCAGCCATGTAAGGACTGAGTCTCTATAAGGCACAAATATTTGTCGCTTGTTCTGCAGTGATGACATATCAGCTATATAATGAAAGAAGATAAAAATTAGCTGGGTGCTTATGTTGGTTGCCTTCCAATCCCAGTCCTGGACTCAAATCATCTCACAGCATAGCATTTGTGAGCTGTCATGACAAAATGAGTCTTGTGGTAAAAAAAAAAGTTGAAAAATGAGTTATTGATATATAGATAAATGACTATATAAGCATTAGTTTATACGGTTTGTTTCAAATATTATACAAGTACTTTAGGCTCATCTTTGTTAAATTGCCTTGCCTTTTGTACCAGTTCTAAAATATTTTTAAAAAATCTGTATCTTATTTGTTGTTCCCGATTATTTATTCAAAAACTCTGCCAGTGTCTTCAAAAATTAATTTGTACAGCACACTGAAAACAAAATGTTTTCTCACTGGAGCCTGGCTTTATATATTTAATACACAAGAGTGCCCCTGAATATCAACTTACCATCTAGGATAAGCTAAGAGGTCACTATCTAAATACGGAATTTAAAAAAAGGACATACTCAATATGTACATAACATATTATATGTTTCTAAACTGACAAATGTTTAGTTTGTATTTTTAAATAGCGTCTATTCCTTTCAGTTACAAAGCACTTTGTTTTCCCTGGTAATTGAGTCCAGGTACCCATTTACACTCCTGGGTGGAGAGGAGCAAAGCAGATAAAGAGCCTTGTCTAAGGACACAAGCGATTGAAACCGCAACCTTGAGGTTAGGAAACCAAACTGTTACCGCTGTGCCAACTGCTTACACTAAAATTACAGACACAAGCAAAGCTGTTAAAAAAAATGTTCTAAGATGTTGAAAAACCTATACAAAGACCACTCACCTAAAGCATGTATTACATTGCCTAGTGTCACCAATGACTTGTTGATGAGTGACCCTTCTTTTAATCTGTCACCAGTGGCCCCAGTTGAGGCTGCTCGTTCACTTTAAGAAGGTAAGTACAAAGAAATTAACATTTCACTTAAGTGGTTCATGTAATACTAGTGTAAATTTTGTTATATTATGGATCATTTATTATGAATCAGTAAGGTTAACTATGATAAAATCAGGAAGAAAACCACCACTATCACTAAATATTATAAGAAATTTTAATTTAAATAATAAACATTTTATTATTTATTAATATTAATATTATACTGTACTACATTATTATTACAAATAATCATCAGTAATAAAAAAAGTGAAGTCTTTTATATTGCTTACTTGTAATTACAGTAGATAAGTAATGGTAATGATGATGATAATAATAGTTAATGTTGATAATAACTAATATAATAACTAACTATATTAAAATTCGTCATCGACGAATTTTAGGCGATAGGCAGGATCCGATGGTTTTCCTCTGCAAGAAAATTTTGACATGCCCAAAATGGCCTGAAAATTGGTCAAAATGTGATTTAAGAATTTAAAAAAAAATGTCATGACGCGCGCACCGACAGTAGTTGCACATGAAGTTGATCCTTGATATGAAGTATACTTGTGTCAGTGTTCTAAACCAGTCTGCTGCCCTCTGGCAGAGGGCGATTTATGATAAATCATAGAATTTCACAAAGACTTAAAGGAAAATATGAAGGGGGTGAGGAAAAACATTCACTTTGACAATGATGACATCATCAAAATGAAAATGGGTGCAGACGTTGATGAGTACAAAAAGTTGACCCTTCACATGAGGTATACTTGTGTTAAGTTTCATTGAAAAATGCCTCTTGGTGAGGAAATTATGATCAATTATAACATTTCACAAAATGGCGCAGTCACATGACTGCGACGTCACACAAAAGGTCACCTGTAAAAATTCAGATATAGGTCTATCTGCTAACCAAACAACAAGTATAGAACCTGTGCCGTTTTTGTGAATAGCCACAAACAAAAAATAGGAGAAAGAATAAAAAAGGAGAAAAAAAACAAAAAAAATAGGAGCAATTTCCTGAACTGTTACAACCATTGTTTAGACTAACACAGCTGCACTGCTACTTTTAGGGAAAAAGGAAGGAAGAGTAGGAAATGGTGAAGAAGATAAGAAGATGTTATCTTACCTGCCAGCCAAGTCTACCAAGTTGATCTTGGACACTTTTTCACTTGGAAGATCATTCTCAAACTTAGCCTTAAAATTAGAAAAAAAAAAGTTACAAAAAAAAAACTTACACTTAAGTTATTAAACTTATACTTATTCTTAGGTTTTTAAACTTATAAGTAAGTTATTAACCTTATTAACCTTATTATACTTTTACTGAAGTTATTTAACTTACTTTGTACCTTATGTTACAAAACTTATACCTAACCTAACCTAATAAACAAGTTTACTTAACTTATGTCTAAGTTATAAAACCTATACTTATACTTAAGTTAGTAAATTTATACTTATACTTAAGTTATTAAACTTAAAAAAGAAAACAGCACTGAAACATAACTCTAATATTTATTGTAAATAAGAATTGTAACAATAATAAATAATAACAAACATTCATTAGTGTTTTTAAAATTTATATTATGATGCTATTTATGTTAAAATGCACACATATTGCATTGAGTTAAAAGAAGAAGTACATAGACCAAGGTATAAGAAGAGTGTGTATAATTTGCTGGTAGTTGCAGAGCCGTTACTTAAATGATGGAAGGGGTCTAACCTGAGTAAAGGTGATAGTAAAGATGGCATGCGATCTACTGCTAACATCATTCATATTAGTAGAGGCAGTTGTCCTGTAAATAAAAGTATATTTAATTATGCATGAATATATACTGTACCTACATTATATCAATTAAATAAATAATAAGAACAGCGCTGGAATAGGAACATGATGTTATTCAACGAAAAGTCCTTTATTCAGTTGTTTAAAAAAGTCTCTCTGGTGGAATTTGAACCTGCACTCTCTCGCTATCAAGACAAGTGTCGTACCAATTAGACCATGGAGACGATGTACAGTATTGTATATATATTCTATTATGAATAAATACATTTAATATGAGCACCTTGGAGGAGCAACATCATACTTTTTTAGATTATACAGAGTATCCATAAGTTATTTCAGGAATAAAAGTTCAAATGGTAGAAGAATGGTTATTATTAAAATAATTTATTCACTTTTGTATATATTTTAATTACAATACTACTGTATTTAAACTTTAAAAAACCTGTTAAAACTGCCTTATGATGTTTCATGGAAACTGACATAAGGTTTATAAGGCAAGTCCAAATTAGGGTAAGGATTAAAAATTGTCATGGGACAAAAACGATATGCAAGTAGGTTGGTCATATGACTGAATAGGTGGGTTTTCTGAACACAATGGATCAAACCAAAAGGACAACTGATTAATCTCAAATAAGAAAGTATTATACATACTCCAAGTATTGAAATGCACGCCATCGTGTTGGGATTCAATATTTCGACATTAATTATGTCATCATCAGGAATGGAACAATGGATCAACGTTTGGCATAAATATACCAAAATGCAAAGTGAAAGTATACATGAACCAGGATGTATGATAGATTAAAAATCTATGACCAATGCATTACACTTTACGTACCTACATTAAAATATTCAACATACTACATTAGGAAATAAATTAATACACCTTTAATGTAATTAAATATACAGATAAATTTTATTATCATTCACATTGTCATTGAGGTACAGTTCCCTAACAGCTACAGTCCAGAATGCGATTGGAAAGGTTCGCATTAAACGCTATCGAGATTCTTTTATTAATAGAGAAATCAGAAACTTTAATACTTCTACTAACCTTCGAAGGTACGCACACAGAATTATAGAATTTTTGACATTTAATTATGGAAATAAAATTGTTGAATTTTAATTTAACTTAGTATTTAAAAGTAAGAAATAAAAAAATCATGTTTTCGAGAATGAGAATGTCATTATGACTTTAGAAAAGGATGAAATAAAAATGATAATTTGTTCAACAATTACCTTTGTATATTGCCTCTTTCCATGAGACTTTCAATGTCTGAATAATCAGAAACTAAATGTTTTGACAGATCTAGAAAAAAAAAATCCAATTAGTTAATAACTCTAGAAATTTTGTATAGAAATTTAAAATAACAGAACATAAGATAGTGTAAAAATAACTAAAAAAATAAGCAACAAAAGCTCAGCAATTCCATACATAATTGGTCTTGTTGTATGCCCATTTATAGTCATGATGTGCCTATCTATGGTCATGTGATGACCATATTTGGGCATGTCACATGTTTTTGTCAAAGAAAATTTGCACAGGTATTTAGGAAGTGGAAACAATTCTGGTTTTGATAGGATTTGAACCCATGGCCCCTGGATATAAAATCAAGCACGTTAACCACCATGCACCAGCTAATTTTAGCTTATCGTGGGCTACAAGAATGATGCAATCATAGTATGTAACTATACTTTACATGTGGAAGTTTCGTTGATTGAACCTACTCCCCTAGTGTAAGAAGCAGAGCCCTAGGACCACATAGTCATAACTACTAAACAAACATAATCTAACCTTGTACGTATGGCCCTTCACGAGGATGTTCCCGCACTCTTAGTGAGTGCTCCTTGTGAGATTTTAGTAAATCTCGTACTCTTTCATTGTAAATTTCAAGATAGCTGGGAGAAGAAAAAAAAGAAACAGTTTGTTACTTTATTTTTATATATTTCCTAAGAATTAAACACACATAGCGTAATTCTATTACAGTGCACCCTCTAATTCGTGACCACTCTAAATCCGAGACCCCTCTAATTCGAAACCACTATTTCAAAGAACCAAATTACAATCTTCCATCTATTAACACTAAGCTAACACTCTATAAGAAGACCGAACCCCGAGACCACCCCAAATTTTCAGGTCCCAAACAGGGGCAGATTTGGGGGGGGGGGGGGGTCGG